GAAAGAAAGAAAGAAAGAAAGAAAGAAAGAAAGAAAGAAAGAAAGAAGGAACGATGTCAGGCTGACTCCAATCTCCCTCTCTGACGAGTGGTATAAAAATACCAGTCTTGCCTCAAACTCAGAGATCTACCTGCCTCTGCCTGTGTGTGTGCCACCACCCAACCAATTTTGTTAAAATTTAAATGCTGCACTGCCCTTGTCTATCTAATAGCCATACCACCCTAAATGCATCTGATCTACAAGAATACAATATTGTTACCTGATTTATTCTGTAATTTAATTTTCTTCCCCAAACTAAAATCTGGTGTTACACCAAGAAGATAAAGCAGAGCAAGTCAGTACCTACACTTACGAGTAATAAATTATAATTATCTAGATACCAAGCAGAGCACAGATGGTACACATCTTTAATCCCAGTACTCAGGGAGGCAGAGGCAGGCAGATCTCTTGTTAGTTTAAGGCCAGCTTGGTCTATAGTGAGTCCAGGACAGTCAAGGCTACACAGAGAAACCTTGTGTCTGTGGGTGTGTTGGTGGTGGTGATGGGGTGTCTAGATACCAAAGACCAAACTTTACAAAGAATTAAATCTAACCATTCCACATGAGGTTATGCAGAGAATCAAATTCACCCAAAATAATTCAAAGCACTAAAATTAAGAGAATTAATTTGTTTACATACTCCAATTGTAAAATAAAAATAATTCATAGGGTACAAAAATGTGTAAATACAGAGAGACATAGTTAATCTGGTTTTTAAACAATGTAATTTCAGTTGGTTAAATTACATTTACCTCATCTGTTCTCTTTCATTTTGTGAAGCGTTCTAGATTTTCATTTCAGGTATATTACTCCTATTATATGTCATGTTACATCACATTCAAGGGGAAAGTAGATAAAGTCACACTAGGATCCTAGAGCTTGAAGATCCAGGAGCTTTCTCCTTGATGGCTTGAAGAACTATTTCTCTGAAAAACTGCTCTCCTGCCTGCCAATCAACCCCATTTATGTCAGATCCTAGGAATAAATGACCTGAGACAAGACTAATATTTAATAAGTAATATGTGGTCTTCGCTGGCACAAACAGTGCATGACCAACACAACTGTGAATGAAGAAACCACATCTTACTCTGAACTTCCAGAAAGGTTGGTTAACCTATTAGAATACCACTGAGTGCAGAGATTAGAATGTCACAAGCCTGAAACCTAATTGCAGTTTACCTTGGGCTATCTTTAACCCCCTAATGAGACATTCCTTGCTTATCTGTGTTTGATCCAATAGCCTTGTGACTAACAGGAACCTTTCAAAGGTAGTAACTAGACCACTGGCTGTCACCAACCAAAAGGCTAAGAAAATAGCTGAGATCTCCCACTTTGCTGTAATGGAGCTGCCTACCTGATGTATCTAGTTACTGTTTTAAGAGTTCTTCATTTTATATATACTACTGCTCTGTTTTCTTGCACACCAGAAAAGGGAATCAGATTCCCATTACAGATGTAGTTACTGGGAATTGAACTCAAGACCTCCAGAAGAGCAGCCGATTCTCTTAACTGGTGAGCTCCTCAATGTACTTTAAAAGTGCCTCAAATTATGATTTCCTTGCTGTTACTATAAAAACTTTTTGAAACTGTTACCATGTTAAGACAGTAACTGGAATCTGTGTTTCCAAGGCACATTCACTAGTGCTTGGCCCCAGAATAAATTCTAATCCCCAAAGAGTTTTGTGTCAACAATATATTTAAATTGCTCCTTTTATAAACCCCACTGTATTGCATTAGAGACGTAGAAAAAAATGTCTAATTGTCCACTGCATTTGATATTATGTTAGTAGGCAAAAATGCCAAACATATGCCTGTGTATATTTATGAACCCAAATCTTACATCTGTATGAAGCTTAAGTTTAATTGATCAGCCTCCTTTCACGGCCATTCCCTCCATCTCACATAAAATAGTCAACCAATAGCTAGTGTATAATCATGAGTGGCTTCATAATCAAGAATCCAAATAGTTTCTTACTAAACCTAAGTCCAAACTTCTCTACCCTCCATAGTCTTTTCTTTTCTCTCCTAACTTATTCTAGACAAAAGCATTATCTATGCCTCACTGCCCACATTTGCTAGCCTGGATTTCTCCAAACAGGAATGAGTACTTCTTCCTGTACACTTTCAATTTCCAACCATACTCATAAATCACTAAAAACAAATCATCGGAACTCTCCAACACCTAAAAGAGAACTCAAATTGGTAAGCGATCAGCAACCAGTGACTTTTATCTGAAAAACACCTAGAATTAGCTAATAAACCTGGTGTGGTGGCACACAGCTTTAATCCTAGCACGTGGGGGTCAAGAAACAGTTGAATACTCTGAGTTCAAGGCCAGCCTGGCCTACAGAGTAAATTCAAACACAGCCAGGACTGCACAGAGAAACCATGAGACCCTGGGGGTTGGGAGGCTGGTGGCCTGAGATGCAGGGTGTTTTTTGTTGTTGTTTGTTAAGAGTATTTGAGCTGGGTATAGTGCAAGCCTTTCATCACTTGGGAGGCAGAAGCAGGCAGACTTCTGTCCACCCTCACACAGGGAAGGAAGGAGGGAAGGAGGAAGGGAGGGAGGGAGGGAGGGAGGGAGGAAGGGAGGGAGGGAGGGAGGAAGGAAGGATACTTGAACTGTTTCTTGAACAAACTGGATGACCCAGCAACAAGTCACAAGTCAGAAGTCACCCATTTATTGTAGCTAAGTAGCTGTGGGCCATATCCCGCTACTTACATACTCATTAATGAGCTACCCTAACTTCTAAAACCACAAGGATTCCAAGGAGAACCAAACAAATACACCCTCCCTCACAGCTTAATTTAAATATAAAGTCAAAGACACAATTAGGAAACAAATGACTCCTGCTAGGAGGGAGATAGAGGGCACTTAAAGAACTCTATCCTAACTTCCGAGAGGTTAAGGAAGGACTACTCAGAAAAAAAAAAAAAAAAAAAAAAAAAAGGCACCACTAAGCCTGGGGAGGAACAGCAATCAGAACACAGAAAGGCTGAGGCAGCAGAACAAGAGGATCACCAGTTTCCCGCCCTGCTTAGGGGGGAAAAAAAGGAGGGGGGAATGGGGATGGAAGGAAGCACCAGTTCCAGGCCCTGCTTAGAAGGAGAGGGGGGAAAAAAGGTGGGATGGGAATTATATTTATAGAATGAGGTGGAACAGGGCAGGGAAATCATAGGACCAAAAGGAAGAATGAGGACTTAACAGGACATTGAGGAGAAAAAAAAAAAAAAAAAAAAAAAAACGTTTAAGGAAATGCAATCAATTCGATATAGATGGAGCAACAGCCAAATCTTAAAACACAGGTGTCAGAAATAGTTCAATTTAAAGGCGAAAGCCACTCCTTAGTTAGGGTCAGAACGAGAGGCAGTTTCAAAACAAGTCTAAATAGGTGAGTGTTTGCTAAGCAGACAAAAACCGATTCCAAAGAGCACAGACAACGCGCTCAGGGGTGAACTGAGGAAGGAGAAATAGTGATGCCCCAAATCAAGAGAGAAGCACAAAACAGCACGGATAATTAATTCATAGAAGACCAAAGGGGCTTACATCTTGGGCGATAACCAAGCACAACCGGGATGTGAAGCATGGTAGTTTTGGCTGGCCACAAGTTTGCCAAGAGAATTAGTCCCACTGGTCCCTTGGTGGACGCCAAGGCATTAATGCCTCTCAAAACTCAGCTGCGCCCTGGATGGATTGCACTTCGTCCCTCCGCTTCAGCCAGGATTGATTGTGCAGGCTCCAGGACAGGCTCTGGGCTCCGGGCTGCTGACACGCAGGTTCCCAGGGAGTAGTTACAGGCCTGGTCTGTGTGTGCTGGTGGGTAGAAGTTAAGTTTAAACTACCATGCATTATTTTCTGATTTCTCTGTAGAAATGACGAGCTCTTAAGAATAATCAGTGTATCCGGGCATGGGTGCACCCCTTTAATCCCAGCACTTGGGAGGCAGAGGCAGGCGGATCTCTTTGAGTTTAAGGGCAGTCTGGTCTCCAGAGCGAGTTCCAGGAGTGCCGGAGCTACAGAGAAGCCCGGTCTCGAAAAACAAAACAAAAAAGAAGAATCAATGCGTGCCCATTTCATATTTACAGAAAGAAAAAAAGGTACCAAGTAGCTTAACATCTGTCCATGCCAGTACTCAAGAATGGGTCACTCTGTGAATCCAGCTCTGCCCACATTGGCTTTGTTTCCCCAGCCACGCTGACATTCTCAACAGCAAGTGGGCGATTTCTGCACTTTTTTCAGTCTCTGAAAGTGCCCGTTACAGAGCTGGGTACGTCCAAAAATAAAAAATTAGAGACTTCCTGACCGACCTGCAGTCACTGAAGTTACCTAAGCTTCGCATTTCCTTTTGCACACTAAACTACTAACTAGAAGCCGAACCTGCGTCTTACACTCAAGACTTTGCTTTCCGCCCAGTTCCACTGAGTGCCTCCAGGCTCCAGCGCGAGCGCAGAAGAATGCACACCTTCAACGCGCCAGGAAACGCCCGCCCGGCCACCCGGACCCCCCACCCCCACCCGCCGCATGCGCCCCTCGCGCCTCTGCCGAGAGCTACTCACTCACCTACGTTCCGCCCCGCCGCCGCCGCCGCCGCCGCCGCCGCCGCCGAAACCCGCGAAGGCAGACGTCCTCTCCGCCAAAAGGCACTTCCGGCGCGCGCGGTGACGTCGCCCTGCGCGCCGGTCTCGGGCCCGCGTCCGCCCAGGTTTCGGGGTAAAGGAAAGAGCCCTGCACCGCGCCGTGCTCGCCGACGCCCGCGCCTCGGCGCGGGGCGGAGAACAGCTGGGGCTGAGGCCGCTGCGGGCTCGCATCCTCCGCCCTCGGCCGCCGCGCTCACGGTGAGCTCCCACGCCTCGCGACTCCCGCCGCCCCGGACTCGGACCCGGGGACGTCCAGCCTGCATTCCCGCTCCTCAGCCTGAGACGCTTGAAAAGTGACAGGCAGGTGTTGGCTACCCTGAGGCTTTTTAAATAATCCTCCCAGTCGCCCAGCGTGAAGCACTCTTCCGGATTCCTGCGTCGATTGTCATTCGCAGAGCACGTACTTTGTTATTCCAGGTACTCGTTACTCCTGCCGACTCCTGCGCTGGTTAAAAATCAGATTTTTGAACTCACTTGGGTCCGATACATAATTTTCACTGGTAATTTACAGAGTTGTAAGCAGTGAAAGTGATTACTGAGCTTGGTACAGGTTTATGTTCTATTCAAAGCACGTAATTCATATAATAAAGTATGTCATTTCGTAATTTGGTTGTGTACATTAAAGATTCTAAATAACTTTATCAAAATGTGAAGATAACCCAAAATTAACAAAAATGAGACGGGAATTGGTGGCCTATATCTGTAATCAGTATTTCAGACGTAGATGCAGGACGTTGAGGAGAAAAAAACAAAACAAAACAGGGAGATAAATAGCTGTTCAAAGGATGTGGCGAATACTTGGAAAGCATCTTTTTGCTTTTAGCCTAAGAAGACGTCAGTAATAGCCTCGTGGCTTCCCCGCCTCTTTAAAAACCCTCTTTTCCAACCGCAGTGCCGCACTGAGAGATCTACCTGGCGCTGCTTGAAAAGGAAATTCACACCCCACCCCCACTGGCCTACTCTAATCTCTTTAAATGAATGGATGGTGTGGAATTCTGCCCTATTTACAACAGGCTTCGCCAGTGTTTGGTTTTACATGGAGTAAGATTCCTGATGGTTTGTTTTCCATTTTAGAAATGAGCGGTGGCTTGGCTCCAAGTAAGAGCACGGTCTATGTCTCCAACTTGCCCTTCTCCCTGACAAACAATGATTTATACCGGGTAAGTTTTAGTATCAATATATCTAACTAGTGAATTCTCTCTTTAAGAGAGAAGCTGTAGCTAAGCCAATACTGCTCCCCGGGAAAATTCTTTATAGCTTCAAATTTTAGTGAAAAAAAAAATATATATATATGTGTATATATATATATATATATATCCAAAGAGTTTTTACACTTCTTCTTTTATTTGTTTGTTTTCTCAAGACAGGGTTTCTCTGTGTAGCCCTGGCTGCCCTCATACTCACTCTGTAGACCAGGCTGGCCTCCAACTCAGATATCCACCTGCCTCTGCCTCTAGGGTGCTGGTATCAAAGGCCTGTGCCACTACTGTTTTTATATTTATAAACAGGGAGAAAGTAGTGGGTGCCCATGAACCTAACACTCTGAAAGCTGAGACAGTGGGATTCTAAGTTCAAGGCCAGCTGAAACGACATAGCAATATTCTGTCTCAAATAAAAAATAAGCTGAGGATGTAGCTGAGTGGTGAAGCACTTGCCTAGCATAGTCCACACACTAATCCCAGCACAGGGGAAGCTGAGGTAGGAGAGCTTGGGTTCAAGACCAGTCTGGGCAATGTAGACCCTGTCTCACAAAAGGGAAAAGGTAAAAAGAGGTTTCTAGACTGGGTGGTAAGAAAAATCTTATTTAAAACGTAGCTGGGGGCTGGGAGTTTAATGTAGTTGGTGGGATGTTTGCCCTGCATGCACAAAGCCCTGTGTTGAATTCCTAGTACCATGCAAACGAGACATTGATGGTGCATACCTATGATTCCAATATTCAGAAGGTGAAGCCTGGATATTGGAAATTCAGGGTCATGCTCAGCTACATGAGGACTTTGGGGCAAGCTTGGAATGCATGAGACACTGTCGTAAACAAACAAAAGGTGTTTTGAATAAAATTGTGGGGCAATAGGAGGCAGTTGTACAGATGTCCAAAGCACAGCATTTCGGAAGAGGAAGGGTGGAATATAAGTAAACCCACTCTCCTCTGGTTTTACAGGCCTCATGCAGGCTGTCACTCGAATTCACTCCAAAATGAGAACCCATTAGAAAGTTAAAATTATATAGGACACTGCTGGGCCTTAGAATCTAATGTTGCTAAATCTATGACTCAGAACTTAATATTTCATTATTAAAGTGCATATGATGAGATCTTCTAAAAGCCTTTTCTTGGTAATATTATTTCTATATGTGTCTCAAGCACTCAGTTACACTGGAGGACTTTTAACCGAGGTGCCTCTAAGGGCGGCAGGGTATTGATAAGAGCCAACGCCAGAATGATTTTGAATGCTATTTTAATCACACAAATATCTAAGGGTCACATAACACATCATCACACAAATATCTTAGGGTCGCATAATATATCACACATTCCATGGGGAATACAACCTGAGCGCAGGCAGGTAAGGGCTTGGACGCGTTGCCTCCAGGATGTTCTGGTTTCAGATTCTCAGCAAGCCAAGGACTGTCAGCCAGTCTTCCAGGATGTGGTGGTTTCTCGGATGTTGCCTTCCAGGGCCGGTTTGTTGCATTGGTTTTGGATTAATCAACAGCAGTTCAGGCATTGGCTGATTATTGGCGATCCTGTAGTCTCCTCACTTGAGTGTGACATTTATTTTATATATATTAGTGCTCTAAGAGGGCAGTAGAGGGTATAGATGGTTGTGAGCCACCATGTGGTTGCTGGGAATTGAACTCGGGACCTCTGGAAGAGCAGACAGTGCTCTTAACCACTGAGTCAACTCTCCAGCCCCAAAGGCTGCGGTTTTTATACCCTGTTCCAGGGCATTGCTTAGTTTCTCACTCTTCCACACATGTCAGCTGTTAATCAGCTGTCATTGCCTAATGCTTAAGGGTGTTACCTAGCTACTGTTACAAAGGGTGTCCCTAATCTCACCCCTGACAGCCTTGCTGTTTTTCAAGCACATGACAATATGTCGAGTGATAAGTCAACTGTGAATATCTAGATATTGTCTGCAACTATAGAAATGGGTAAGTTTGTTAGGACATATGTAGAAGGACAAGGAAGAAAAGGTCAGATATAAAATAATAAATGATGAGAAAAGCACTGCACCTATAGGAATAAAAAGATTCTTGTTTTGTTTTTGATCTTTGGCAACAGGGTCTTGCTTTGTAGCCTGGGCTTGCCTCAAACTCCTGGCCTTCTGGCTTCATTTTTCTGAATACTAGGATTGTAGCCATATACCATCACTCCTGGCTAGAGATGCTTGTTTCATTAAAGGAAGTTTCTGGTGTTCTATGCAGTCAGAGCTGTCTTTAGCACAGTTGATTGCTTAAATCAATTGTGTTGTTTTATTCAGCAGCACTGGTATTGAAGCACTGGTTTAGCTGGAGTTCTGGTGGGGTAGATGGTCCCACAGACGGATGAGGAATGCAGCCGCTACCTGGTGTATATGCCACAGATCTAGACATGCTGAGTGGGCTTTCTCTCGGCCCACCCCTTAGGAGGTTAGGCACTGGAGCATATTACCTGTAAGTCCACTGCCTATATTATTCTACTCACTTAGGCAATGTTTCTCTGGTTCATTGCGCCAGAGTCTTGCTGTGTTGCCCTAAGTTGTGATCCTCCTTCTCAGTCTCCCAAGTGTAGGAGTATCTTTTGTAAAGCCTCTTGTATAGACTGAAGGCTGAGATTTTTCATAAAATAATATAATCTGATCAGTGCATACAATCTGAATATTTAATTTGGTAATATTTTAAATTATAAATTATTCTGTGATCTTTTGTTTCAGATATTTTCCAAGTATGGCAAAGTTGTGAAGTAAGTATTTACATTAAAAGATGCTCGGTTAAATATGAATAATACCGTTAACACTTTTACATATAGTTCAGTTATTTTCCCATGTACACAAACAAATGACAGTTTTCATACCATAAATGACTGTGTACTGTAAAGATGTAATAGTTTAATGGTATTGCTGAGAGCTGCTCTCCAGGCACTAAGTAAACTCCTATCCCTGAGCTACACTCTGAGCCCCTGAAAGTTTCCACAACTCGTTCCTGTGCGGTGCAAAGCTTAGTTGGAAATGTCTAGGGAACATCACAGTGGAGCAACATCATGCTCATGGTACTGTCAAGCCACATCAGAGAATCTCTATAGCAAAACCTTTGAACTGGCTATAGACCTCCCATTCGCTACATCATATGTTGACCTCTGTTGATCTGTGTATCCCCCAAACCAGTTAGAGACTGACACTGAACCAAGTCATAACTCCGGACAAAGAAGTACTGTGATTTCAAACCCATTTGTGGTTTTAAGCAGTAACTACAGCACCGTTTTATAGATTTGTGACCATTTCTACAGGACTATTTGAATCTGTTTGATTAATAACAATCATTATTGGCTCCTAATAATTTCCTATACTATAGATTAGTCTGATGTTACTTTCAGCAAATTGAGATGGCTAAACTGAAATCTGTAATTACACAAGGGAAGAAACCTGGACAAGACGGTCAGGTAAAAGGCTGTTTGTCCTTGAGAGACTGTTCAGTGTACACAAGGACTGGATGAACAAGGAGGGTGTGTCCGGATGGCTTCCAGGTGCTCAAGATAGTGTCTGGTGGCTTCCAGGTGCAGGAGATAGTGTCTGCTTGAATGAGCCCCTCAGACCTGCATCTGAAAACAGTGCTGCTCTATCTCTTTCTGCATGCCAGGAACTTGGAGGTCATCACAGATTTGTTTTCTTTGTCCTTGCTGTGATTTTCTTTTTCTGTTACCAAAGAAGAGATGTTTAAGGACGGACCCTGTTGTAAGTGGTTTGCAGAGTCTCTGTCTCTAGACTCTAAACTTCTTCCTGAGGGTGAATGTGTTTGTCTTTTTGTTGTTGTGTTGTTTTGTTTTGTTTTGTTTTGTTTTGTTTTGTTTTTCAAGACAGGGTTTCTCTGTGTGTCCCTTGGCTATCCTGGACTCGTTTTGTAGACAAGGCAAGCCTCGAACTCAGAGCCATCCTACCTGCCTCTGTCTGTGCTTGGATTATACGTGTGCAACACCATACCCGGCTACTTCTGACTTCTTTGTGCAGTGTTCAAAGTGTTTAATTCTGAGTCCAGAGTTAATGGTTATAAAGTCATCCAAAAGCACATGTAGCATTTTAGGTTTTAGCTTAGTAATAAGAACAAAGTATCTAGTGCAGTGGTTCTCAGCCTGTGGGTCACAGCCCCTTTGGCAAATATCTGTCTCCGGAAATACTTACATTAGACAGTAGCAAACTTAGAGTTATGAAGTAGCAGCAAAAGCAGTGTTCTGGTTGGGGTCACCATAACATGTGGAGCTGGATTAAACAGCCGCAGCATTCGAAAGGTTGAGAACCACTGCTCTGGTGAAACTAACATAAACTCCCACCCCTCCCTTTTTGTTTGTGTGTGTACGCCCTGGCATATGCACATAAAGACAGGAGGACATCAGGTGTACTCTGTCAACACGGGGTCTCTCACCGAACCTGAAGCTCACTGTTTTTGCTAGGCTTACCAGGGAGCTCCCAGGATCTACCAGTTTCTGCCTGTCAAGACAGAGGGTATAGGCATGTGTGCCCAGGTTTCATGTGGGTGCCGGGTATTCAAACTCAGGGCCCCATGCTTCTACAGCAAAGCACTGTGTCAACCCTCTCTTTAAAAAAAAGGGGGATCCTTCATCCAAATTAACCTGTCCTTAGCCTTTCACCTTGCTGTATGGTGCCTTTCAGCTTGCTGTATGGTGCCTTTCAGCTTGCTGTATGGTGCCTTTCAGCTTGCTGTATGGTGCCTTTCAGCTTGCTGTATGGCTTGCACTCTCTTGACTATGAATGTGTACATGTATGTGTACACATTGTTTTTATGTGTTTCAAACTTCATTCTCCTTTATGTCTACTTAAATGTGTTTTTAAAGGTACATCTTATATAAGCACAATAAAGTTACCAACTTCATAACTTATTTGGAAGATTTTATTGAACCAGACAGCTGTCCTGTTCTGTCATTTGAGGTAATAGATTCCTAGGTAACCTTTCCCTCTGGTGCATGGTTCACTCTAGAGCCAAGTGTTTCCTCTAACTGGTGTTTTCCCAGACTTAGATCCTGATCATGTCTTTCTGGTTAATGTACTTAGCAGATGATGGTGATGTGGCCTGTTCAGGGAACCATCCCTGGAGACTTGTTCATCTGCTGTCCACTGGTGATAGTAGTTTTCATGACTCGGTTGAGGTGATGTCTATTTTGTTTTTGTTTTTGTTTTCAGTATATGCTTTATTTTCCCTTAGCAATTAATAAACAGTGTTTGGGGCAGCACAAGTACCCTTTTGCACAAGAGCATCATTTTTTATTTAACCTGTGCTGTCAGTTCTTTCCTGATCTGATCTCTACTGTGAGTGTTGCAAAATGGTGCTTTCCTCATTCAGCATTTGCTGTGTACCTAGCAGTAGTCGCTGGGCTCCCTTCTTCACATTTTTATTACTCATGTGGACTTGCAAGCACTAACTTTTCCCATGCTTCATAATTTAATCACTATTTTATCTGTTTATTCTGTCTTGTAGTTGGCAGGTAGGCAGTGACTAGCTGGCTTCTATTTTATGTTCGTGTTTTGTTTAATTTTTTTTCTTGTAACCTCAAGTTCCAGATTCCTCTTGCCTCCACCCTGCTCAATTTAAAAGCAACCATTGTTTTTTCCCAGAGAGCTCAGCAAAACATTGATTTGCTTTGTTTTTTAAGATGAGGTCTCAGACTGGAGATATGGTTCAGCCATTATGAATACTGACTACTCTTCCAGAGTACCCAGGTTTAATTCCCAGCACCCACTTGGCAGCTATTACAGTTGACTGTAATTCCAGTTCCTACGGCACCTGGCACTCCCGCACTGCATAACATGGTATACAGACATAGATGCAGGCAAAACATCCATGCACTGATGTATTTGTTAAATATTTACTATTGATATATATCTTTTAGTAAAGCTTCAGTTACTCTAAATCTAACCAAATCACCACACTGAGACTAGGATTTATTTAGTTAACCTAGAACACAATGCTGGGCAATAGTTACTCCATGTATCTTAGGTCCAGTTCATTTCTCTAGGTTGTTCCAAGATCTCTTCTCCAGCTTCTCTCTCCCAGCTTCTGTTCCTCTTCTCCCCCATTCCTTCCTTTCCTCCGGCTCCTCCCCTCTCCTTCCTACTCCTTCCTCTCCTCCGGTTCCTCCCTTCCCCCTCCTACTCCTACTGCTTCCTTCCTCTCCTCCCACTCTGAACCAGGATGCCCACCCTATCCTCTCCATTGCTCAACATTGTGGCTGGTTATTTTAATTGACAAATTGGAGAACAAATGGTGGCCTGTTTACACAAACTTGAGACAGGTGGTGCTTAGAATAAGTATCACAATGCAATGTCCAGATTGAAACCAGATAGTTGGGGAGAGAAATCAGCATTTGAATGAACAAGGGTAAGGTGTATACATTCCAAGAGAACATATCAACAATGCACATAAAATAAAACTCTCAAATAAGACATGGTCTTGCTACTTACATTACCCTAGCCTTCAGCTTGGTGCTGTCCTGCTGCCTCAGTGTCCTGTGTGTAAGCATTCTAAGCATGTTCCACCACACCAAACTCCAGCACTGTTCTTCTAAATTGCATATGTGGATAGCAGTCCTCTTAACCCAGGGGTGCTGAGGTAGGTCTAAGCACCACTAAACTGGAGATTCTTTGAAAGACAGACACTTGGATATATAACTTGAAAAAAGCAGTAAATCATTTTGTTTTTTGTATATAAGAGAATACCTCAATTTATGTATTGGGTTTTGCAAATGAAGGGCTAGTACGGAAGAGGATATGCATTTTGATAATGATGTAACAGTCTCTTGGCTGGACCTTTCAAGCTCTGATTGGCTCCCCAGTGTTCCTCTGTACTGTCGGTGTCACTTCATTTCCATTCTCCTGGATCCCTCATGACTTTGAAGAGCCAGATGGTTTAAATCAGTCTCTCTCTTCAGACAGGCTCTCATAGCCTAGGCTGGCCTCAAGCTCTCTAGCCAAGGATGTCCCGATCTCTTGTTCCTTCCACCTCCCCCTGCTGAGTACTGGGATCACAAGCATCTACCACTAAGCATGATTTTTTTCTTTTTATTTATCATTTCAAATGTTTCATTATTTAGCCTTATAGAAATGATCTTGAGCTTCTTGAGTAGTTACATGTTTTTTATTTAATTTTAACTGGTTCTTTGTGCTTTAAGGGTTACAATAATGAAAGACAAAGATACAAGGAAGAGTAAAGGTGTTGCGTTTATTTTGTTTTTGGATAAAGACTCTGCCTTAAACTGCACCAGAGCAATAAATAACAAACAGGTAAGCCATTCATTTTATCAGGTTTTTAATCCAAAAGCTATGGGGGTGCAGGAGGTAAAGTTGGATTAATATCTGTAATTCAGGAGCATTTTGGAGATGTCAACACTGTACTGATTATCTAAACACTGGAAAAAATGTTAAGTGAGAAAATTAAAGCATAGAGTCTATCACATGCTTATTTCAACAAGAATTGAGGAAATGGTATCTGATAGCTAGGTGTTGGCGACCACGTCCCTCTGCGTTGACATTGTTCTCTGGTTTAGTTGTTTGGTAGAGTGATCAAGGCGAGCATTGCTATTGACAATGGAAGAGCAGCTGAGTTTATCCGGAGGCGAAACTACTTCGATAAATCTAAGTGCTATGAATGTGGGGTGAGTAAACCCAGAACTCTGCCTCTTCTGTGGTATAAAGTGATCTTCATATTAGTCTTTCAGTGGTGCCCACCAGTGGGGGTGTGCGTGGAGGGGCACTCAGGTGGGTAGAGGATGCAAGGCTTCAGAAGTGCTGGCTGTTTCCGTCACGTATTCCCTTTTAACAAGCGTTTCTCTCGGAACATGGGCTAAGTGGTGACCTGCACGTTGCAGCAGTCTTGTGTGCATACACACTGCTGGGGTTTCACACACATACAGCCATGCCTGGCTTTTTTTATTATTATTATTAAATTTTTTACATTAATTACATTTTATTCGCTTTGCAGCCTAGCTGTAGCCTCCTCCCTCATTCTCTCCGAATCTCACCCTTCCTCCCTCATCTCCTACTATGCCCCTGTCTAAGTCCACTAATAGGGGAAGTCCTCCTCCCCTTCCATCTGACTCTAGCTTATCAGGTATCTTTAGGACTGGCTGCCATGTCCTCCTCTGTGGCCTGGCAAGGCTGCTCCCCCCTCAGGGGGTGGGAGGAGGTCAAAGATCCAGCCACAGAGTTCATGTCAGAGACAGTCCCTGTTCCCCTTACTAGGGTACCACTTGGATACTGAGCTGCCATGGGCTACATCCCAGCAGGGGTTCTAGGTTATATCCATACATGGTCCTTGGTTGGAGAATCAGTCTTAGAAAAGACCCCTGTGCCCAGATATATTTGGTCCTTGTGGAGCTCCTGTCCTCTCCAGGTCTTACTAACTCCCCCTTCTTTCATATGATTCCCTGAACTCTGCCCAAAGTTTGGTTATGGGTCTCAGCATCTGCTTTGATACACTGCTAGGTAGAGTCTTTCAGAGGCCCTCTATGGTAGACTCCTGTCCTGTTTCTTTTTTTCTCCTTCTTCCATTGTACATCCCATTTGTCTTTCTGCCTAAGGATTGGTCATCTTGCCCAGGGTCCTGTTTCTTGTTTATCTTCTTTAGGTGTACAGATTTTAGTTTGTTCATCCTATCTTATAGGTCTGGTATCCACTTATAAGTGAGTATATACCAGGTTTGTCTTTCTGCTTCTAGGATACCTCACTCAGGATAATCTTTTCTAGATCCTACCATTTGCCTGCAAATTTCATGATTTCCTTGTTTTTAATTGCTGAGTAGTATTCCATTGTGTAAATGTACCATGATTTCTGTATCCATTCCTCCATAGAGGGACATCTCAGTTGTTTCCAGGTTCTGGCTATTATAAATAAAGCTTCTATGAACATCTCTTTGTTCTTTTATGTGAGGTCTGGCATTTGAACTTCGCTCTTCCTGCTTGGGCAGCAAGCACTCTTCCTTGCCATCTTTCTAGTCTCTTCATAATTTTGTTTCTGTTGAGATTGTTTTCAAATTGTTTTGAGATAGGTTTAATGTAGCACAGGCTGACTCTAACTCACCAGTAGCAGATGATGGCCTTGAACTTATGATTCTCTTGTATCCACCTCCTGAGTGCCAGGACTCCAGGCATGGCCTACCACTTGTAGTTTATGAGCTACTGAGAATCAAATCTAAGGCTTTGTGCATGCTAAGCAAGCAGGGAACCATCTGAACTAAACCCCCTGGTCACCAGGTTATAAAAGCTATTTTACGGGGCTCAAAGGTTAAGAGCACTGGCTATTCTTCCTGAGGTCATGAGTTCAATTCCCAGCAACCACAAGGTGGCTCACAACCCTTTAAGATGAAATCTGATGCCCTCTTCTGGCATGCAAGTGTACATGGAAACACACATTATATTCATAATAAATAAATCTAAAATAAATAAATAAAAGCTATTTTACTTGGAACTGATCTGAGTAAACATCATTGAAAGGTAATATTCAGGAGCTAGCATGATGCTTGGTGGGTAAGGTGTTTGCCATGCATGCCTGATGACCCGAGTTCAACCCTGGAACCCACATGTAGGTGGAGAAGAGACGCTAACCCACAGTTGTCCTCTGACCTCCACACTCAGGCTGCAGTAAGCACTCGTCCACACACACAAGAATAAGTAAAGTTTAAAGGAAAGAGTAGTATCTAGAGATACCTGGAGCGGGACTGCAGGCAGAGCTGAGTGCCAGGGGGATTGATTACCTGGTATCCAGAAGGGTGAGGGTTCAACCCTGAGCATCACAGAGCACAAAAAAAGAACAAAAGAATAAAAATACCTTGAGGAGGAATACAAAGTCATTTTACTAGCTTCTAAGTCTTTCAATTTTTTTTTCTAATAATTTATTTCTCTTTATTTTATGTGCATTGGTATTTTGCCTGCATGTATGTCTGTGAGGATGTCAGATCTTGGAGTTACAGACAGTTGTGAGCCACCATGTGGGTGCTGGGAATTGAAACCAGGTCCTCTGGAAGAACATCGGTGCTCTTAACTGCTGAGCCATCGCTCCAGCCCCTTCAAAATTGTTTTCTAAAAATACAAGGCTCATTATCTTAATGTCTTAAAAGATTTTAAGTAACTCATAAATTTCTGTTAATAGTTGCATGTGTTTTTGATATTGTTTTGCCAGTGTTTAAGCATCAGAGTTGACTATCAGTGTGATCATATGACCTCTGCTCTAAGATAATATATTGAACTTCTCTTGTTATTATTGGGACAGGATTGCAAGATGTTCCCAAGGCTGGTATTGACCCCATGGCCTAGAGTGATTCTCCCACCTTGGCCTTCTAAGTAGCCATTACTATATAGGTGTGCTGAACCACACCTGTTTTTAATTTTTAATACCAAGAGGATTTCTGTCTGAGTCTCATAGCTGTCAGTTCCTATAAAATGACTGTATAATACTTAAACACTGGATCCAGACATATAATGGAGAGGCAGAGAGGTGATGTCTGGAGGCATTGACATAGCTATAAAGTTACCGGGAAGGCGCCTGAAATTCCTTAGCACCTTAGTTACTTCTCTAGTGCTGTGATAAATAACCTGACCAAGGAACTTACATAAAGAAGGGGTTATTTGGAGCTTACGCTTCCAGAGCTATAGGAGCCTGTTACCATCCTGGCAGGAGCATAATTGTAGGCAGAAATGGCACTGGAGCAGCAGCTGTGAGCTCCTATGAGATCCAGAAACAGGAAACAACAAGGGGCCACACTGAGATCCCTGCCAGTCTTTGGAAACGTCAAAGCCCAACCCCAATGACATACCAACTCCTATAAGGCCACACCTTCTGGTCCTTTCCAAGCAGGGACGCCAATTGGGAACCCTGTATTCAAATACTTGAGCCTGTGGGGACATTCTCATTCATTCAAACACCCTTGTTGTCCAGCTGCCCCCTTCCCTCTGTTCCCAAGAAAAGATACATTGTGGACAGGTGCGTAGATGACTAGAAAGCAAGCATGCTAATTTGGTCAGTTCAGAGTTTAAATCCTGTTAAAAGATTATTTGGAAACGATTCAAAAGTATTGAGTTTGTGAAAAGAACAGTGCTGGCTGAGCAAAGTAGCACAGGCCTGTAGTCCAGCAGTCAGGACGCTCAGGCAGAAGGACTTCCAGCTTAGGATTATCCTGAGCTACATAAGGAATCCTGGGCTGGCCTAGACAACGGAGAGACGCTGTGTCAGTAGGTTGTTGCTTACTGGATAGTCCCTTACTCTGCATGTTTAGAATGAACACAGGTCATCTGAGAAGCGCTGCATAAACGTGTGAGTTAGGCACTCCTTCTGATTTACGTACTCAGACAGGTTTGTTGTCAGGTTTGTACATTTTTGTTGTTATTGTTGGGGGTCTATTTATTTACTTTTTCTCCTTATGCAGACTTAGCTGACCTGGAACTCACTGGTAGACCAGGATGGACTCAAACTCAGAAAGATCTGCCTGCCTGTGTCTGCCAAGTGCTAAGATCAAAGTTTTGTGCTGCCATATCAGGGTCAATACATTTTGTTCTTTAAAGACAGTTCCTCTAACACAGGATAGTCTTAAACTTGTTTTGTAGCAGATGTCTTTAAACCTCCCATCCTCTTCCACTTGCAGAGTGCAGGGATTGCAGACTCGAGCCTCCGCCCTTGCTGTGTGTGTGCAGTCATATCCAGTGCTTTGTACGGGCGAGGCAGGCTCCGCAGCAACTGAGCTGCATCCTGCTCCCACATCTCCATAGTGCCTTAACTCTTCCCTAAAAACAAGATCTGTTTGCATTTACATATCTGAGTTTTCCCAAAGCAGTTTTACTAGTAACCTTTTCCTTTAGTGATATGTGTTAACATTTGTTACTGTTATTCCAAAACAATCGAATTATCTCCACAGTAAATTAACAGAAAATAGTACATCTTGGGTTCAGCCATGTGCCAAGAACAAAGTACAGGTTATCTGAGGCAGTGTGAAATAATTTACTCCTTGTGTTATAATCTTGGTTCAGTCTCCTACACAAGTTAGCATTGTACTATTTCACGTAGTTTAGTGAGCTAATATACAGATTGCAGTTTATAGTTCTGTGTTTTACGTTCAGTATTCTACTTCATTGAAATAATCCAGCTCAGTAAAATGGGATGATAATACAAGCCGTATGTGTACAAAAGGAAGAGAAAATGTAGTGTGGTGCTAGATAGAGCTCACGCCCAGGGCCCTGTGCCTGCTGGGCAGGAACGCTGTCACTGAGCTGTCTCGCCAGCCCCTGCTTGGTTTAAAGCTGAATATTCAACAACATCTTACAAGTTAGCAGAAATAATTTTATCCCCGTTTATCGGGCTAATCGAAAACTTGTATTAGAGTTGATGATCATTTAGATTGTAGTTCTTTTGTAGGTGAGAGTTGAGATTTAAAATGTTTAAGAAAAGAATACTTCTTTGCTCCCCCAATGCTACTGCAGCGTGGCAGTACTTAGAATGTCCCAGGATCGGCCTCCTCTATGCGAAAGGGACAGGTTTGGTCCTGTGTTCCCACAATGAGTATATTGTTTCCTGGGTTCTAGCCTTTGAGTCATAGGGTCAGGGTAGGTTTCTATCAGTAACAGCAACTATAGTGGGGTTTTTTGTTTGTTTTTCTTTCTTTCTTTTCTAATGTGAAACAAAAGGAAAGCGGACACTTAAGTTATGCCTGTCCTAAAAACATGCTTGGAGAGCGTGAGCCTCCAAAGAAGAAAGAGAAGAAAAAGAAGAAGAAAGTCCCCGAACCAGAAGAAGAAATGTATGTATATCTTGCTCAGTGAGATGGTGTGCTCTTTTGCCTTTTTACTGTCAGCTGACCACATCTGAATTTTTTCTCTTTGCTGCCCTAGTGAGGAAGTAGAAGTGAGTGAAGAAGAGGGGGAGGACCCGGCTCTGGACAGTCTGAGTCAGGCCATAGCATTCCAGGTACTTGTTCTGAAGGGACTGGTGGCTGGGACAAGGCTCAGGATGAACTGCTTGCTTGGCAGGGCTGGATTTGGGGGGTGGGAGAGGCCAAGAAATGCTGTGTCACACTGTGGAGTCTAGTGTTCCAGGGGATTTAACTGAGAGCAGCTACAGCCTTTACCTATCTACTCAGGAGCCTGGGTGAAGAACCGTGAAGCCTAGGGATTCAAGACCAGCCCAGGGACACCCTTTCTCAGGAAACAGGGAGGATGTAGTAAGCACAGTGGTCCATGCCTGTGAACCCAGAAAAAAGGGGAAATGTGGTAGGCATGGTGTTCCGTACTATAAACTCAGCACTCAGGCTAAAGAAGGAATATTACATGCTTGAGACTAGCCTGGATTATAGAGTGAGACCCTGTCTCAAAAACTGAATAAATAATACAAAAAAATTATAAATTATTCACGGCACCATGGTATATTTCATGTTATAGTTTGTTTGTTTATTTGGTGGGGGGGGTGTGTTGAGACAGTTTTTCTGTGTAGCTCTGGCTGTCCTGGAACTCACTCTGTAGACCAGGCTGGCCTCTAACTCAGAGATCTGCCTGCCTTTGCCTCCCAAGTGGTGGGATTAAAGCTGTGTGCCACCACTGCCTGGCTATAGTTAATATTTTTATATCACTGTACTGATTACCTATCTCATAATAGTAATGTCTATGTTTCCCTCTCACCTCATAAATTTGAGACAACACATTATTCTAAGATCTTTGTCTGAATGAAACATTCCCATTTGCTTTTCTAAATTGTAAGATCTCACATACTTTTAGTATATTATTAATCACATTCCCATTTGCTTTTCTAAATTGTAAGGTCTCACATACTTTATTACAAAATTGGATGGAAGTATTAGATTAGCTGGATGAGTTACCACACATCTGTAATCCTAGTATATGGGAAGTAGAGGCAGGAGTTCAAGGCCAAGCTGGGCAACATGACACCGATCTCAGAAATTAATTTACTGTTTAAGTTAAAACAATTTGTTAAAAATTTCTATAGCTTGGAGCTGGAGAAATGGCTCAGCAGCTAAGAATACTGGCTGCTCTTCCTGAGGACCCAGTTCAATTCACAGCAACCACATGGCAGCTCACACCTGTCTGTAACTCAAGTTCCACAAGATCCGACACCCTTATACCAACAAACATGCAGACAAAACACCAGTGCACATGAAATAAAAATGTATCATTGAAAAGACATTTCTATACCTCATCCAGAAAGAATCTTTAGAAATTGCATACAGTGGAGCTAATAATCACATTGCACATTTGTAGACTCACCTGAGAAGGCTGAGGCAGGAGATCATGAAGTCAAGGCTAGCCTGGGCTACCTAACAAGTTTCAGGCCAACAGAAGCTGCATAGTGAGACTCTGTATCAAAATAAAACAAATGGGGCTTTGGTGGGGAGAAAGGTTTAGGGATTTTGTTTAGTTGATGTTATGCACGAAGCCCTGGCACTGCATAAATCTGGGGATGAAGTCCCAGCCTTATGGAAGTAGAGACAGAAAGCTCAGAAGTTCAAAATTGTCCTTCCTACATAGGGAATTCAGCACTTCTATCTCAGGAAGAAGGAGAAAATCCTTAAAGATAATTTTGAGTAGGACTGTAATAGGGACCAAATTGTCAGTATGGCCCAGGAGGTGGAAAGTATTTGTGTTCTGCTTTTTCCATGGTAATTCTCTTGAATGAACATGATATGCCATAATAACTGGTTTTGTTCTGCTTCTGAATCACATTACAGCAAGCCAAAGTTGAAGAGGAGCAAAACAAATGGAGACCCAGTCCAGGGGGTCCCTCAACCTCAGATGATTCTAGACGACCAAGGATAAAGAAAAGTGCATATTTCAGTGATGAAGAAGAACTTAGTGATTAAGATTGTATTTATTTTGTAAATATTATTCAAATAAAATCTTACAGTACCAAATGCAGTTGTGGACTAGAGACTGTTTTTAGTAAAGTTTCTAGCTTGCCTTACACAATGCAAATCCTAAATCTGAAACTCCGCTGTCTAAAGTGTTCTAACTTTGAGCACCAACATGATGTCTCAAATGGGTCCGTGAAACTCTTCCACTCCCAGCATTGTCGATACTGTAGAAGATGCTGTGTATATGCAGCATAAGTGATTTTGTATTTAGATATTTAGGTAATAACCTAAATATCTCTTTATGTATATGCAGTTATACCAGAAGCTGAGCTACTGTACTCCAAAGCATTTCACATTTAGTACACTCAATTTGTACTAAAATCAGAATTTTTTATAAATAATCTTGAAACTAATCTTAAAGAATACAACATAATACTGCCAACTATCGGAAGCAGAAGGGCGGATGGTAAAACTCTTTGAGAACTTAATTGTAATACTTCATTTTTGCCTGACTTGCACATGTGAGGACTTGTGGAAAACTTCTACTTTTCTGCCTGCATATATGTTTATGTGCCATCTGCACACAATGCCCATGAGGGCCAGAAGAACGATGTGAGATGTAAAAAGAACTTTTATTCACCCCTTTTAGTTGCCTTGGAGGCTTATAGCTTCCTTCAGATATTCTAGACCTAGTCCTGGAAGCTTCTAGCCTCTGTACAAACTAACCTAGGCCTAAAATGTTTTCAGCCTCTGAGACTTCCTGCTAAGAAGCTCACCCTTGATCTTTCTTAGCTCTTAGCTGGTTGGTTCAACTCAGCTATTTTGGCTCAAACTCCTCTCTCAGCAGACTTACTCAATGTGCCTTTTTTTCCCTGACCTCTGGATTGCTCTACTTGGCCTCAAACTAACTCCAGCTGTTTCATCTAGTTTTCTGGCTCCTTCTCATTCTCTGGCTCATTCATTCTTCACCTGAGTTCTCTCTCTCTCTGCAACCCACCTCTTTATGACAGTCCTGGTAAAACTGCTTATTCTCTCTCTCATTGCCCCTTAAGTAGCTTCCTTTTCCTCTACTCGTGAGAGTTGGGCATATCCTATTTTGTCAAGTATTTCTGTGATTCCTTACTGTTTCTGCCGCTCAATTAGACATCACTTTTCAAATGTGCATGCTTCCTTCTACAAACTAACTTTACCTTCATTGTTGGGCATTAAAGGCATGTACTACCATGCCTGGACCTAAGGTTTTCTTTAACTGAAACTTGCTCTGTACCAGGCTCGCCTTGAATTCAGATCTGCTTGCCTATGTCTCCTGGGATTAAAGGTGTGTTTATATTCCAGCTGAAGGTCTTTGGACATGATCTCTTGCCACAACAGCCATGTTCTGAATTAAAGTTCCTCTACAATGAGATCTCCTGGAACTAAAGTTATAGAAGGTTGTGAGCCACTGTATGGGTGTAGGGAAACAAACCCAGGGAAGGGCAGCCAGTGCTCTTAACCATTGAGCCATTTCTCAGATCCTTCCAAATGCAATTTTTAAACCAAAAACTCCATGAAGGCTGAACAATAAATGATCCGTTGTTAAACTTTTTGAAGCACTTAAAGATGAGTGTTTAACTGGAAGCAGTGGAGCATGCCTTTAATCCCAGCACTCGGGAGGCAGAGGCAGGCAGATCTCTTTGAATTCCAGGCCAGCCTGGCCTACAAAGAAAATGAGGCCAAGACAGCCAGGCCTACACACAGCCAAGGCTGCACAGAGAAACCCTGTCTTGAAAAATCAAAAACAACAAAAAGATGAGTGCTTTGTCCCAATTTGAATGAACTGTCAATTCTCATGAAATGAACCTCTGCATGGGGACACACAGTGAGAGGAGAGTCTGAGCTATGCCTGTGTGTGATGCCATCCTTTTTTTTTTTTTTTTTTTTTGGGGGGGGGGTTTAGACTGGGTTTTTCTGTGTAGCCTTGGCTGTCCTGGGCACTCTAAACTTAAGCTGGCCTCCAGTTCACTATGATGTGCCTGCCTCTGGCCCCCTGAGTGCTGGGATTAAAGGCATGCACCAGCACGCCCAGCCACCCTTTCTTAACAGAACAAAAATGAAATAGTTAAATTTGCTCCAAAAGGCTTAAAATTAAACAGTTGTTTGCTGCCTGTAGCCCTGAGGTCTGTTCCCTAAAAGCACATACTCGTTGGCCATCCCCTTTCATGGTTTTGTACATGTTGCTAAATAAAATGGGCCTTTGCCCATTCGTAAAAGGATAGGGTTTTTTTCTTCTGTTTTTTTTTTGTTTGTTTGTCTTTTTTTTCCTGTTATTCTCCTAGCCTTCCTCCATCTTTGCACTATTTTTAGATCGTGTTAGATATTTCTTGTATTTGGGGCAGGAAGGGCTATAATGATGTAAATATTTTTCATGTCTTTAATTATATTTCTTTGTATTTATGACTAAGCCTTTCTAAATCCTTTCTATTTAGCTCTGTAAAAATGGTATTTTGGAGTCTTTAATGTTCTATTTAAATTTCTGTAATTTTAATATAAAAATTCTCACTTTTTAATAGTGAAGCTTTAAAACATAAAGTTATCTTCCAAATTTCAATAAGGAAACAGGGCAGAAGAACGGAGTACTTCTAGCTCACCTATTAACTAGAAAACATGCTGTAAAACTGAAAGCACCGGGGGCTTGAAGCAGGAGTTCAAGATTTTAATGTCAGCTGTGCTACAGGAAGCCTTATGAAAAGACAATTAAAAATATACACAAAAATGTGGCTCATAATTTAGTAAGTATGAAATATGTTCTATTCTTTGGACCAGAAGTCTTGCCCTGTTTTATCCCACAGTGATAATCAGAAATGCAGGTATGTAGTCAATCATGAGGGTACACACTTGTAATCCCAGCACTCCCGAGGCCAAGGCAGGAGACAGAATATGAGGCCAGAGCATGGATTAGCAGCTAAAAACTTGCTACTCTTGCAGAGGACCTGGGTTCAGTTCCCAGCACCCACATGGCAGCTTACAACCATCTAGTACTCCAGTTCAAAGGTACCTGTTGTCACCTTCTGGTCTTTGCAGACACCAGGCAAAACACTCATATTCAATAAATAAAAATTCTAGGCACTCTTATCCTACATAGTGAAACTCTGTTTCAGAAAGTTGTTTTTGACAGACAAACCTACATCTCAGTAGCCCTATTGCCACATAGACCTGTGAACTTTGGGCAGTGTAGGTAACCGGAGTTATCTGAAAAACAGTAAAACTGAAAATAAGAAGTATTTTATGATTTCACATATATGAGGTATCTAAATAGTTTGAGGCCAACCTGTACTGCATCATTTGTGACCTTGTTTCTCTCTCCCTCTTCCTTCTCCTCCCTTCTATATCTCTCCCTCCCCTCCTCCTTTCCTTCTCTCCCTTTCTTCTCCTCTCCTCTTTTCCCCAACCCTCCCCCCATCACACACCCACTGAAGAAATGAGTGTTAACCTCTGGCAGAGGTTAATTCCAACTCCAGAGAAATCAAAATTAACTTCTGGCTATGGTGGGTACATGCACATATACACAATTTTAAAATAAAATAAATAAATTCAATATATCAAACTTTGCATGCTAGAGCTAACTTGTGGCTTTAGAACTAATTCATAGATTTAGTTCTAAATCTAAATTAATCACTTGTATCAGAAAAAATAAGAGCAAAATGTTTCTAGCTTAAGCATTGCCCAAATCTAGCAGAAAACAAGGAAACAAAACTCATAATGGTAATCAAAATTCAATTAAGCCAAAAGTCAGCTCACTGTATCAATAAAACTGAGATACCTTTTGATGTAGGATGGGTGGATAGACAGATAGAATATGAAAGAAAAGACAGTGCTACCAAACTTACAGGTACAAGAGATGATAGGAATTGCCATAGCCAACATTGTTCCAGTAGACTAGATGAATAAAGCAGAGTGAAGGATTATCTTGCATGGCACATGCTACCATAACGTAAGAAAGAGAAATAAGGCTGGAGAGATGGCTCAGTGGTGAAGAGCACTGGTTGCTCTTTTTAGAGGTCCTGAGTTTAATTCTCAGCAACCACATGATGATTCACAATAACCTGTAAGGAAATGGATTTCCGCTTCTGGTATTCATAAAAACAGAGCACTCATATACTTAATATAAATAAACAAACAAATAAATAAATAAATAAATAAATAAATAAATAAATAAATAAATAAAAGCCTTTACAAAAAAGAATCGAAAGAAAGATGAAATTATCTGTGCAGGTAGGTTTCTGTTTCAACTATAATAAACTGCCTTAAATTTTGTGACTTAAAACAATATAAACAGATGGGCATGGTGGTGCATACCTGTAATCCCAGCACTTGGGGAGGCAGAGGCAGGTGGATCTCTGTGAGTCAAGGCCAACCTTTTCTACAAAGCAAGTCCAGGACAGTCAAGGACACACAGAGAAACTCTGTCTCCAAAAACACACAAACAAAACAATATAAACATCATATTTCAGTCAGTATACCTTATAAGTCCAGTCTCCTGAAAGTTAAAGGGTAGTGTCCTACAGAAATAGACCTGAGGCAGTTTTGAAGAAGCCATGATTTCCTATGGCATACAGTCACCATATGTAAAACAATTTCTAAGTAATTGAGCCTCTCAATATAGAACCAAGATTGTAAGAGGCTGGTAACAGCTGTGCTAGAAGCCAGTCAGCAGCTACAATGGTTAACATGGTAGGGAGAAGAAGCTGAGAATTTTGAACAGCAAAATAGAGCAAGGGAAATGAATATTATCAAAGATCAGTTTTCTGGGCGACAGCCAGTGATCTGACTTGTAAGATCAGATTTGACTGGATGATGCTACTAGAGAATAGTCTAGCAACTTTAAGAGACTAGGACAAAGCTGAGAAATCTGGGAAAAGGTCTACCTCATTTACTAAGATTATACAAGGTTCTGGGAAAGCCTTCACTGAATTTTTTACAAAGATTGGTCTCAGCTTTGAACAAAGTTTTATCAGACTCTTACATGAGGTAGGTGTTGACAGAGACCTTGCATTTGAAAATTTAAATACTAAATGTAAAAGAGTT